AACAAAAGTTTTAGCTTCTAATAACAGCATTTTTCTTTTGTACAAATGTTAGTAAGTTAAACTCACGGATACACTCACGGTCACACTCACACAGTTACACTTACAGTCACACTCACGGTCACACTCACACAGTTACACTGACAGTTAAACTCACGGATACACTCACGGTCACACTCACACAGTTACACTTACAGTCACACTCACGGTCACACTCACACAGTTACACTGACAGTTAAACTCACGGATACACTCACGGTCACACTCACACAGTTACACTTACAGTCACACTCACGGTCACACTCACACAGTTACACTGACAGTTAAACTCACGGTCACACTCACGGTCACAGTCACACAGTTACACTTACAGTCACACTCACGACTCATCGTCTAGTGATGACCTTTGACACATCGTCTAGTGATGACCTTTGACACATCGTCTAGTAATGACCTCTGAATTCTGGGTTTAGGAAGCCCTTTCAACAAGTCGGCTGTTAATGTTGTGTCCGGTAAGATTGTGGCAAACTGGGCTTGTGTGGTGAGCCTTCCACACCATTTAACCAGGCAACACCACAACACCAAAACTTCAACACTGTTAAACTCTATTGGCTAACTCAAAGCTTCAGTCAACACTGTTAAACTCTATTGGCTAACTCAAAGCTTCAGTCAACACTGTTAAACTCTATTGGCTAACTCAAAGCTTCAGTCAACACTGTTAAACCCTATTGGCTAACTCAAAGCTTCAGTCAACACTGTTTAACCCTATTGGCTAACTCAAAGCTTCAGTCAACACTGTTAAACCCTATAGGCTAACTCAAAGCTTCAGTCAACACTGTTAAACCCTATTGGCTAACTCAAAGCTTCTGTCAACACTGTTAAACTCTATTGGCTAACTCAAAGCTTCAGTCAACACTGTTAAACCCTATTGGCCAACTCAAAACTTCAGTCAACACTGTTAAACTCTATTGGCTAACTCTGAAAATATCAATATTACATTACCCTGAATATGGCTTATGTCGGTGCCAAAACTGTAATTACACTAGACAAAAATCTGTTATTTAGAACCTCAAAAAAGGGTTTTTGGCTTTTCCCCGTTTTTGGTTCCAAGCAGAACCCTAACCCCAGAGGGTTTTGCAAAAACATGAAGCTCTGTTTTTTTGTGTGAATTTTCTGACGTGGCATTTACATTCTCAATGTGTCCCGATGAGTCTTTTCAACCACATCGCTGACCACAGGAATCTGACATTCACAACTGCCTCTACACACTCTGTGACTTTCCCTCCCTGTGACACAGAGACATACTGGTTGGCTGTCCTTCCTCTGTGGCTTGGCAGAGCGGGCACACCTAGACCCGTGCCCGCTGGCACAGCTGTCACTCACAGGATGGATGAGAGGCCAGGTCACCGGTCTCATTATGCACCTGTCTCTGTGTTTCCTCGCCCAGCCCGGCTAGGTAACGTCCGTGTATCAATGCCAGATCCACCACTCAGAATGGAGGAGGCCAAGCTCCCACTGCCCCTCCCACTGTTGTCTCCCCCTCCCACTGCCCCTCCTCCTGCTCTCTCCCCCTCCCCTTATGCTGTCTCCCCCTCCCACTGCCCCTCCTCCTCCTCTCTCCCCCTCCCACTGCCCCTTCCCCTGTTGTCTCCCCGTTCCCCTGCCCCCCCCCTCCCTCTGATGTCACCCCCTGCCACTTCCTCCACCTCCTGCTGTCTCCCCCTCCCCTTCTGCTGTCTCCCCCTCCCCTTCTGCGGTCTCCCCCTCCCCTTCTGCTGTCTCCTCCTCCCACTGCCCCTCCTCCTGCTCTCTCCCCCTCCCCTCCTCCTCCTCCTGCTGTCTCCTCCTCCCCTCCCCCTCCTCCTGCCTCTCCCTCCCCCTGCCATCTCCAGGCCTCCAGCAGACAGGCCTCCGTCTTAAATCACACCCGCTCTGTTTGATCTCAGCCATATTATACCTCATCATTGTCCCCTCGTGCCGATATTACGGCGTCCGTTCTAAATCAGAGGCCCCGTCCTCAGAGGCCATTAGAACCACACAATGGGCGAGGTGGCCTCCTCCTGACGCAGATGATCACAGTGGCACAATTATGGCAAATTGCCGAGCCGTAGCAGTGGTTTCACATGGGGTTGATCTGCACTGAGTGGATGGTCACTATTTGATTTACATGAATACATACTGCCGGAGAATGAACCCCGGAGAATGAACCCCGGAGAATGAACCCCGGAGAATGAACCCAGGAGAATGAACCCCGGAGAATGAACCTCGGAGAATGAACCCAGGAGAATGAACCCCGGAGAATGAACCCCGGAGAATGAACCCCGGAGAATGAACCCCGGAGAATGAACCCCGGAGAATGAACCCCGGAGAATGAACCCTGGGTAATTGTGGGGCTGAACACAGACGTCGGTCCGGTTGGATCCAATTACTGGGTTGTCAGGAGCACCAGTGATGGAGAGGACTGAGACAGCCGGAGACTAGCACACACACACGCACACACATGCACACAGAGAGCTGTTGATTGTCTCTCTCTTCTATCAGGTTGTGTTTTTCTGCAGCCAGGGAGACCTCATCCTGGGAAATGGAGCATTTTCTGATTGAAAACAGTGATGATAATTAGAGCCAGTCACTATTCCGATCCACTTGGCGTAACGTTGGCATGCAGAGCTGCTAGTAAACTAATCTGGGATAAAACATTTGTTTCCTTAATTGCCCTCTTAGGACAAAAGAGAGGAGGGGGGGAGAAAATAGTCAAATGTTTAGGTTCCCCTGTTAGAACAGAACCTGGGGTGTTCAGACTTCCTCAACACAGAGGTTAAACTGCACTAATGGGCTACAGACACACACACACACACACACACACATGTGCACACACATAGGCAAACAGGTACACGCACACACACACACACACACACAACGTGTTTACACTGTTGAGTGCAAATAAAAGCGGCCTATTCGCTAATACCGACAGGGCGCTTCACAATACACACACATGCACACATATTGGCATACCCAGATTCATGCGTAGACACACACACACACACACACACATTCGCAGATGTAGGCACACACATTCACTATATTGCTTAGCAGCTATATTGGTCAGCACTGGTGAGTACCTACCAACAGTGAGATGCTCCCTGTCAGCAGTAGTGAGTACCTACCAACAGTGAGATGCTCCCAGTCAGCAGTAGTGAGTACCTACCAACAGTGAGATGCTCCCAGTCAGCAGTAGTGAGTACCTACCAACAGTGAGATGCTCCCAGTCAGCAGTAGTGAGTATCTACCAAAAGTGAGATGCTCCTTGTCAGCAGTAGTGAGTATCTACCAACAGTGAGATGCTCCCAGTCAGCAGTGGTGAGTACCTACCAACAGTGAGATGCTCCCAGTCAGCAGTGGTGAGTACCTACCAACAGTGAGATGCTCCCAGTCAGCAGTAGTGAGTACCTACCAACAGTGAGATGCTCCCAGTCCAGTGGTGAGTACCAACAGTGAGATGCTCCCAGTCAGCAGTAGTGAGTACCTACCAACAGTGAGATGCTCCCAGTCGGCACTGGTGAGTACCTACCAACAGTGAGATGCTCCCTGTCAGCAGTAGTGAGTACCTACCAACAGTGAGATGCTCCCTGTCAGCAGTGGTGAGTACCAACCAACAGTGAGATGCTCCCAGTCAGCAGTAGTGAGTACCTACCAAAAGTGAGATGCTCCCAGTCAGCAGTAGTGAGTACCTACCAACAGTGAGATGCTCCCTGTCAGCAGTAGTGAGTACCTACCAAAAGTGAGATGCTCCCTGTCAGCAGTAGTGAGTACCTACCAACAGTGAGATGCTCCCAGTCAGCAGTGGTGAGTACCTACCAAAAGTGAGATGCTCCCAGTCAGCAGTAGTGAGTACCTACCAACAGTGAGATGCTCCCTGTCAGCAGTAGTGAGTACCTACCAAAAGTGAGATGCTCCCTGTCAGCAGTAGTGAGTACCTACCAACAGTGAGATGCTCCCAGTCAGCAGTGGTGAGTACCTACCAACAGTGAGATGCTCCCAGTCAGCAGTAGTGAGTACCTACCAACAGTGAGATGCTCCCAGTCAGCAGTAGTGAGTACCTACCAACAGTGAGATGCTCCCAGTCGGCACTGGTGAGTACCTACCAACAGTGAGATGCTCCCTGTCAGCAGTAGTGAGTACCTACCAACAGTGAGATGCTCCCTGTCAGCAGTGGTGAGTACCAACCAACAGTGAGATGCTCCCAGTCAGCAGTAGTGAGTACCTACCAAAAGTGAGATGCTCCCTGTCAGCAGTAGTGAGTACCTACCAACAGTGAGATGCTCCCAGTCAGCAGTAGTGAGTACCTACCAAAAGTGAGATGCTCCCAGTCAGCAGTAGTGAGTACCTACCAACAGTGAGATGCTCCCTGTCAGCAGTAGTGAGTACCTACCAAAAGTGAGATGCTCCCTGTCAGCAGTAGTGAGTACCTACCAACAGTGAGATGCTCCCAGTCAGCAGTAGTGAGTACCTACCAACAGTGAGATGCTCCCAGTCAGCAGTAGTGAGTACCTACCAACAGTGAGATGCTCCCAGTCAGCAGTGGTGAGTACCAACCAACAGTGAGATGCTCCCAGTCAGCAGTAGTGAGTACTTACCAAAAGTGAGATGCTCCCTGTCAGCAGTAGTGAGTACCTACCAACAGTGAGATGCTCCCAGTCAGCAGTAGTGAGTACCTACCAACAGTGAGATGCTGCCAGTCAGCAGTGGTGAGTACCTACCAACAGTGAGATGCTCCCAGTCAGCAGTGGTGAGTACCTACCAACAGTGAGATGCTCCCTGTCAGCAGTAGTGAGTACCTACCAACAGTGAGATGCTCCCAGTCGGCAGTGGTGAGTACCTATCAACAGTATTCAGAGGAGGAATAAACTGACGACAGGATGTTGGTCACCCAACATGTGCGCTGTTTCACCAGGATCCACTGTGGGAAGTTATGGCACCAGGATGCATTATGGGAAGTGACTAACGGAGGAGTTGGTATCTCAGTGGTAGAGGCTAGCTTTGTGTGCATGATGTCCTGGGTTCAATCCCCAGCTTCTCCCCAGGTTGCAGTGCCAAAAAGGACACCTTCAGGTGGTCATGATGTTACAGTGGTACATGGAGGACCAACAGCATATTAGACAGGTGGTCATAATGTTACAGTTGTACATGGAGGACCAACAGCATATTAGACAGGTGGTCATGATGTTACAGTGGTACATGGAGGACCAACAGCATATTAGGCAGGTGGTCATAATGTTACAGTGGTACATGGAGGACCAACAGCATATTAGGCAGCTGGTCATAATGTTACAGTGGTACATGGAGGACCAACAGCATATTAGACAGGTGGTCATAATGTTACAGTGGTACATGGAGGACCAACAGCATATTAGGCAGCTGGTCATAATGTTACAGTGGAACGTGGAGGACCTACATGGAGGACCAACAGTATATTAGACAGGTGGTCATAATGTTACAGTGGTACATGGAGGACCAACAGTATATTAGACAGGTGGTCATAATGTTACAGTGGTACATGGAGGACCAACAGCATATTAGACAGGTGGTCATAATGTTACAGTGGTACATGGAGGACCAACAGCATATTAGACAGGTGGTCATAATGTTACAGTGGTACATGGGGGACCAACAGCGTATTAGACAGGTGGTCATAATGTTACAGTGGTACATGGGGGACCAACAGCGTATTAGACAGGTGGTCATAATGTTACAGTGGTACACGGAGGACCAACAGCATATTAGACAGATGGTCATAATGTTACAGTGGTACATGGGGGACCAACAGCGTATTAGACAGGTGGTCATAATGTTACAGTGGTACATGGGGGACCAACAGCGTATTAGGCAGGTGGTCATAATGTTCTGGCTCATCAGGGTTTGATAGAATATGTACAACAGTGAACTGTGAGCTCTAATATGAGCAGATCAATTCATTTGGTGTCCTGCACTCCACGCTCTGAAACTCTCAGTACACTGCGATTTTGACCATTACTGCCATGAGATATGAAGAGTAATGATTGGGCCAGCTGATAGGCCAGCTGATTAGGCCAGCTGATAGGCCAGCTGATTAGGCCAGCTGATTGGGCCAGCTGATTGGGCCAGCTGATTGGGCCAGCTGATTGGCCAGCTGATTAGGCCAGCTGATAGGCCAGCTGATTAGGCCAGCTGATTAGGCCAGCTGATAGGCCAGCTGATTAGGCTAGCTGATTGGGCCAGCTGATTGGGCCAGCTGATTAGGCCAGCTGATTAGGCCAGCTGATTAGGCCAGCTGATTAGGCATCTCCCCCCAGTATGGGGAGGGGGAGGACCCAGCCCGTGCGGTGCTCAAAGAACAGATGTCCGCACAGGTCATCCTGCGCACAAACTGACAGCAATTGTTTCAGATCCAAAGGCTTTACCTAACATACATAGTATCGTGGTGTTTTCTAGATATAGTTAGCCAACTTTAGCGTGTTTTCTTGCACCCGTATTTATTTTTTATTTTACTAAAATATGATTGATCCACAAATGATAACCACGTGTCAAGCTTACTGGACACCGCGGGGCCAAAATAAAACATATTATTTATGATTGTACCTTTCTCAATATTCCCACATATATTTGAGACTATATATTAGACTAGGTTATCAGGTATATATGTAGTTGGATTGGCAAAGACGGATTGGCAAGGAAGCTTTTGGGGGGGAATATTTCATGTTTTCGTATTGCCTGTAGGCTAACTGTTAAGATCTGACTTAACTTAAGATATTTTCTTATACATAAGTATACCGTTCCTGTATCGCATTGATACATTAAATAGACGTTTTAATGTATCTACTTAATATACATATATGACCTAATTGTAAAGAACCACACAATATTCTCCGGCAGTATTTTTCCATGATGCCTTTTATGTCACTGGTAAGTGACAGGTTTGATTGACTCCTGCCTGTAGACACAGAAATACAGATGTATTAACTTATGTTTCTGTATCAATGTTTCTGTTTCATTATTTCATTGTTTTATGTACATGTTTTACATGTTGCTCAATTTCACCTGTTTACTTCGAACACCAATTAAATCTGATAGTTTCAGGATAATGAGTAAAAACTTGAGTGAAACCAATTTTTTTGAAAAGGAGTGAATGAGAGAACAAAGTGTAACTTTTTAAGTTTTTCTTACAATATTTTAGAGGTGAAATTTTAGTGCCACGGGAGAAAAAAACGAATGTTCATAACATTTAAATCACATAGACAATTATTTATTTAAATTGTTAATAACTTAAATTGTTAACAAAATGATCATAAACCAGTTGACACATTAGACTGATTCACTTATTTTAAACATATTTTATTTGATTCCATAATTTTACCAGAAATAGCCTAATCTACATTTTCACCAAAACCCTGTCACGGTGTCTTATAAGCTCGTTTCCAATCATCCATATAAAGTGATAAGAAACTAAGATAATGAGTCATTTATTAGACATACTTCCGCTAATTGTGATATCCTATCTCTAATTAATTTCTTAGAGCCATGATATGTTTCAATCATTTTCTGCCACACTATAATTAGACCTCAATTATAGAAGTAATGTATTTTATAGAAATGTATTAAAATGTGAAGTACGAATGTGAAGTAATATTTATACCAATGAAAATGTACATTTTTTAAAACGGCAGGTTATTGTAAATTCGGGAAATTCAGTGTGTTTTTTTTTACAAAGAATACTACCCACCAATTGTCCTTTACAAAAAAGATATAAAAGAACATCCAAACACCAATATATGTAAATAAAGTCTATATGTTAGAAGTCAACAGATGAAACTGCATGATATTTCACAACTTATAGGCTTTATTCTGAACAAGATCACAGGCTGCAAACACACTTCCGAAAACCTTAAATCATTAAGCTGGTCCCGGTCTTAATATTGCACTCATTTTATTTATTTATTGTGTTATGCCAAGGGGTTATTTGATAGAATGTTTTGCCATTGGAGCTTGTCTGATAAATTGCTTCTAATCTATTATTGTCCCAGGCTCAGAAACATGTGAGCAATCAATCATATGTTTGATATTTGTTTGCATTATTTTATGGCTACGACTTAAACACACTGAAACTAAGTTTAAACACATTATTACCTATTTGAATGCAATATAACTATTCAAAATGTTTCACACGTTTCAGATTTTTCTCCAGACATCTTACACGCACGCGCGCACACCTATATCTCCTTACAGGATGAATTGAAACCATTTCAGGTCAATAATCACTCTGCTGTAATCTAGTCATCTATACCTCACTATGTAATCTAGTCATCTATACCTCACTATGTAATCTAGTCATCTATACCTCACTATGTAATCTAGTCATCTATACCTCACTATGTAATCTAGTCATCTATACCTCACTATGTAATCTAGTCATCTATACCTCACTATGTAATCTAGTCATCTATACCTCACTATGTAATCTAGTCATCTATACCTCACTATGTAATCTAGTCATCTATACCTCACTATGTAATCTAGTCATCTATACCTCACTATGTAATCTAGTCATCTATACCTCACTATGTAATCTAGTCATCTATACCTCACTATGTAATCTAGTCATCTATACCTCACTATGTAATCTAGTCATCTATACCTCTCTATGTAATCTGTCATCTACCTCTGTAATCTATTCATCTACCTCAACAAGACTATGTGTTTTTTCATACCTCATCTATTTGACACCATTATTATTGCGTTGCCTAATATCAGTTTATCTTGTACAGACAGATATACACAGCTTACATCATATTTTTGTGAACAAATAGGCTACATGTTTTGGTGAAATTAAACTGCGTCAAATAATCACAGGTTTTATTTTACTTTTGGTAAACCCGGAAATGACCTTATCATGAGTTCATTTCTGTGTCCGTGTGCTGTCGGATACAAAAAGTATAGTTTTAGTGGCTTATCAAACAGCCTCCCATCACATTGCAGCATTCACCAGGCCCCTGGATAAACTGGTATTCAAACACATCAGGTACTTGTTGACTACCTATTTCCGGTTGACATGTTAGTTATTCTTAGTAATGAATAGATGTAACCCTTCCAAGGAGAGTTAAGGCCAAATGTCTTTGGAGGAGACTTGAATCGGTTCCTGTGTGTACACCGAGGTCCAGTGTTCGGGCACAAAGAGGAGCTAATCCACATAATGTACACAATACATAGGGCCGTGTTTACATGGGGAAGGCTATAGAGGAGGACATAAATGCCGAGGAGGTGCATCCCCTTCGTGTGAAAAGGGGCCTTTTTTGGGGAGATCTTTGGCGAACACTGCATGAGCTTTAAATCAATCCCATTGTAACTTTCTTTTGGTTCGACTATAGTGTCTTAAAGAAAGCTTTACAACCGAGGAACCTACTAGATCTAAAACAGATCTAAAACACGTATGTATGCGGTGAGCCCGTCTGGTCCAATGGACACATATTGATGTTGATGTCTGGATCAATAGTCATTACTTATCTTTAACTAACTAATACATCATTAAACACAAGTCCTCCGTGCAACTACATTTCGTTGCTAAAACTTACAATAAAAGTGACATACATTTAAAAACAACATTTCTTTGTGTTTGGTCAGCTGTTATTGTATGTTTGGTATATAGAACGAGGGTCCGGTCCATCGAAATTATTAGTCATTGTAAGTCATTTGTGTAAGAGGTTTAATGAAGTTTTTCAACAGTTTTTACCTTAATCTGTCACTTTATACCCACCATGGTAGGCGTTAATAATTAAGCACAGAGCTCATTTCTCTAGTCGTACCTGGATGATGAGCAGTTGCAGAACTCAATCCTACATTCGTTTCTGTGGTTTTACAGTGTAGAACATAATTTGGCCAAACGTTTATAAATTTGCAGTCGTCTAGACCAATTTAACCTCATACAAATACACACACTTTAATTCGTGTTTTTCGTGGTACTATCAAGTATTCCTGACTCAGTAATGTTTAAGCAATACATCAGTGATAAATCAAGTGGATCAAATATCAACATGCCTGACTACGTCTT